GACTGGCAGCTGAATCTCACTTCAGCACTGGCAACAAGGCAGCTGCTTCCCCGTCATGTCCTCCAACAGCTCCCTGATTGTCACATGATGTTCTTTCTGCCCCTTGCATGCTGTCCTCTAAACAAGATGCTGTGGTGGAACAGAGTCAGCATGCCTCAAGAGAGCAGAACCATGAATGCTTATGGGTAAGGCTTGCTGAAGGGTGAAGGCTACATCCCCGTTGGCTTGCTCAGTCATGGGACTTTCTGAGCAGCACAGTCTGTGCCAAGGGGAAGAGGGATCTACACAAGGCAGCTGTCTAGTCCAGCAAGAACCAAGCCCTGTTGCCACTGAATCGTGAGGACGGAGGGGGTGAGGAGCCTCTAATTTATGCCATCATCTTTGACAAACGGTAGGGTTAGGCCTGCTAGAGTACCACAGGCAGGACATTGCCACAGAGAAAATCTTCTAAAGGCAGGAATACCTCTAACAAGGCCTCACATGAGGATCTCAGAATGCAAGTAGATGCATGCATATGAAAGCTGACTGCTGGGCCTCACATGACGATCTCAGAATGCAAGTACCTGTAGATGCATGCATATGAAAGCTGACTGCTAAGTACTTTGAAGGAACAGTTCCTCAACCAAAACATAGTGTTGTCCAAATTGTCCAATCAAAATCAAATATGCGAATTTCACACAGAACAGTTCTTCCATCTGTGGGTTGCCAGCCAGACATATGGGATAGATAAAATAACTCCCAGAAATGCAGTTAGAAATGGTGACAGCATAATGTTCATTTGTTTTGCGGAATTAAGCAACATATTGGCTACTTTGCTGTGCTGTGGCACTGCTGACTCTGTAGCATCATCCACTTTAAAGAAATGTGAAAGAACAACAAGTAAAAAAAATGAAAGTTATGGATACCTTCCAGGAAAATTTAAAACCCAGCAGATGCTAAAAGTCAGGTCCATATGAATTCTATTTTAGCATCCTGTGTTTTGAGGATTAAGGCATCAGTGGCAAGAGTAGGGAGGTGTGACTCTCCAGATGTTGGACTTCAACTCTTATGAGTCCTTAGCCAGTCTAGTCAATGGTAAGAGATGATGGGAGCTGCAGCCCAAGAACTCCTGCCGGGTCACTCCCACTCTTACACATGATCTTTCAGGGCCCCAGAAGTGACCAGCTTCTTTTTTCAAAAACAGACCTGTACAACCTGGATAGCTTAGTCATAGACTGACAGGAACAATCCATTGTTCATGTCCTCGTCAACATATTGTTTTTATTTCTAACCTTTTTATTATCTCCCATTTATACCTTTTAGAAAGCCAACTTTGTTTCTCACACTCTTCTGATTTGTTACTGTGATTCAGTCTCAATTCCAGGCAATGTTAAGAGTTCACCTATTTAAATAAATTAATATACCTAGATGAGTAGCAGTTATTTTGATGATGTCATGTACAAGCCTACATGTCTGGCAAAATAATAGAGTACATTTCCTTCCTTGAAAAATATTTCAGTGTACTTGGAAGTGCATGTATTTATTAATTTATTTTTATTTATTTATTAAGTTTATACCCCACCCATCTAGACCGAAATCTACTCTGGGCGGCTAACAATAACATTTGTCTCAACACACAAATATTTCTCAAGTAATAGTCTCACTATCTGCTGGAACTGTAGTGTAGCAATATTCCTATTGCCCAGAATCCTATTGGGAATTTAAACCAGCATAAATTGGGGTATAACTGCATAAACTGTGTTGGCAAATGCTGCTTATTCAAGAGATGCTGCTCATATTCCTTGTTGTGCACCAAGCTGGCATGTGATGCTGAATGTGAGCAGCAACTCAAGAATGAGCAGTAATTTTCCACCATGATTTACAAAATGGCACTCATGCCTATATAAATCCCTAGTTGGATTCTGGTTATTATGTTACTGCAACAATTGAGCAACATGCAGTCCAGCTTTTAGAAAAGTGCTCTATTGATGTATTCTACATTGTTAATGAAAAAATGCTTTGCAAATTAAAACAGACAAGCTGAAAAACCTCCAAGTTCCTCAATGAATTAGGAATGTAGAACAGTAGCAAACAAACCCCACAAACCTCTGTGGTCTTTTAAAGAAATATTGTGATCAGAGGGGCATTTAGCCTACAGTTTGGCCCACTGCTAGGACAGGTTTGCTTCAGTCCTTTTTTCATTTTTTAATTTTTTTTGACAAATCATCCCCAGATAATTTCTACCTGCACCTTCCTGAGCCCATATCAGGGGCTTCTACTTTTTTGGTAGGGGTAAGACTGCTCTGGTTTGAACTGTTTGCAGTGGACTTCTGCCTGTCCAGTCTCATTGTGAAGTAGCATAATTTAATAAGCAAACCAGAATAGTGGCAAATTGATCACTTCCTCTGCATCTCAGCAGAGGGGAAAGGGAATGGGTTTTTTAAAGCCTGCAGTAGACTATAGCTGATGCACTGTAGCATTTAGTTAAAAAATCTTCTTTGTCTTAACGGTTTGTTAAGAAATTGCTCACAGCTAATTCTGTGGATTCCGCTGCCGGCAGTTTCTCGACTGTTCACAAATAAAACTGTTCCCTGAATATCTTGTGTCTCTTGAAGATCCAGTTCTGGTCATAAGTTAGAAGTAAGATGACAGCACATAACAGACTCAGTTTAAAAAATCTTCTTTGTCTTGTCTTAACGGTTTGTTAAGAAATTGCCCACAGCTAATTCTGTTGATTCCGCTGCTGGCAGTTTCTCGACTGTTCACAAATAAAACTGTTCCCTGAATATCTTGTGTCTCTTGAAGATCCAGTTCTGGTCATAAGTTAGAAGTAAGATGACAGCACATAACAGACTCAGAATTTGAAACGGATTTAATGTTGGGAAAACTGTCGTGTAATTGCGCTTTCCAGATGTTAGCATCACCCAGTGAATGATCTTGGTGACTTGATCCGAGGTTTATTTTTCCCATCTAATGTATTCTCCATCTGAAAGCAGGAGGTGAAGTTCTGGTGGCCCTTGGAGACTTTTCCAGCACTGGGTTCCTCACTTTTCCATGACTAGGAAGCCCCCAGGTGAACCAGATGCTCTTTCTTGCCTGCTGCTTGAAGTTTCCCACTCCTTTGAGCAAACTCCTTCTGTAAGTTTCTACAGTAAAGTAGAACACGTGCCCAGGTTGAAGCTTTCCTAGAAAGAATCTACCCTGAAAATTGTGGTCTGTGAATGCATACGTACATTATTGTATACTTACTGCTTTTAGATTCAGCCTGTTCTTTGGGTTATGTAAACTGCCTCTTGATACCTATTGTTATTAGCTTTAAATATTGCCTTTCATGACGCACACCACCGTTGTATACTCATTTGTCTTCAGCTTCAAATGCTGTCTTTTAAGCCGCCTTGAGTCCTTTTTAAGGCGAAAGGCGGGGTAAAAATATTTTAAATATTGTAAATAAATATTCTGAAGCTCTTCGGAAGTGTAGGGGAATTTGCTTTTGGATCGGCCGTAGTTACAGTATATTACTGCAGGTTTCTTATACAGTACACGATATTGACCTCGGCAAGTTTATTGCAAAGGAAACAAGATGGTTAGCCCCCGAGCTGCGTTTGTGGAAGGAAGGTACTGCTCTGTCCGCCTGTTAGGCATACAGAGCAGATTCCAGCTGCGTTTGTGAAAGGAAGGTACCGCTCTGCCCGCCTGTTAGGCATACAGAGCAGATTCCACGTGTGAACCCGTACCCCCCACACACACATGCCAATAAGACAAAACCAAAACAAAGTATTCCCTCTTCGCAGAAAAGAATTC